TAAATTTTGACTAAACATGTGTATAATAATGAGTAAGATTTTTCAAAATGAGTAATACTAGCCTTACAAAGAGGTATACAAAGAGGCATATAAAGAGTTAAATTCAGTTTTGAAATTCATGATTGTCTCTTTTTCTCTTTTTTTAAGGGTTGAATTTAACTTTTTGTATGATTCTTTGTATACTTCTTTGTAAAGCTAGTATTACTCTTTCAAAATTTAGGAAAGTGGAGATCCAAATTTGGTAGATAATCGTAACCGTAGAAAGACTTCGTATGAGAACGAAAAGGACTACTGGACAACAGGAAAAAGGAATGACTAGACTACATGGGAAAGCGGTAGGAAATGGGAAAATATATTTTCTATATGTCACTTATCGATCTTTGAAATGATACTGAATAAGTTTTCAAGATATCACATCAAGTAGAAAACCATAAGGTGCTTAATACTGGTTATGACATATAATTCAACGGGAACAGTCATTAATTAGGAGGCAAAACCTTTACCTACACTTCACCGACATGCTGTTTCCGCAAAATGAGCGAAATAGCTTTACATTCATTCATTCATTGTGGTTGAAATGTCCATATCTGTCTGTTTCGAAAGAAAGCTGTGTTTATGGTCACCCAATTACCCAAATGTGCATTATTAACCAAAGTAAACGTTATTAATCTTGAATAATAAATTTCAAAAGATTACATTAAGAAAGAGAAAAAAAAAAAAAAGTTGTGGGATCCGCTACTTTTCAACTAATTTGATTCTGATGTAATTAGAAAGATTGCATAATTGCTTAGATATGTTGAAGTCGACCAATGGAGATTATTGATCGTTTGTTACCAAAATAAGTAATTTATTTTTGTGTTACAATAATCTGACCCATTATTAATTATTTAACTTTGCCCCTTCTCAATAAGTTTTTTGGCCATGCCATTGATCATGAGGAAATTGTTTTGATATGTTACCAAAGAATAGTTGATGATATTCTACAATATAAGAGTCATGTGTCCATGTTTTTCACTTTCCTCCATCTACCTCTTGACTTGGAAATATTTTAAATATTCTAAATAAACATGTTACGAACTTTTTAAGTCAAAAGTCAAAGGTGAAAATGTAACTTTGCATGGAAAATAACAATTGTGCCTCCTGATAATAACTTCCTCTGGCTCCTAAATTATCGATGCTTACGTTGTCTGCGCAACTGATTTTGGTCCTGCTCTTAGATCTAGTTGTGTGAACCATGATTGATGTCCGACGGTGATCTAAAAAAAGAAAGAACGTTAACCTGATTCTAGAGACTAGAAGAGCTTTGCACCCGATGGGGACCCTCCTTCTAATGCCAAAATATTGATATCGAAATTCGTACCAATCAGAGGTACTTAATTGACAGTATTAAAACTATGTAGGATATGTGCATGATCTCGGTAGATCAACAATGAAACGGTATAATGATGAATGTATAGAGATTAACACAAAACACAAAGAACAAATAGACTTTTTAAGTGGTTCGGTCACTTACAAAGCAATGCCTACATCCAATGTTATGTTATTAAATGTGTTGCAACAGTAATTTGATTTACGAAGAGTTTGCAATTGGTTTTCTGCTACTTATTCCTCTCCTCCTAGAAACAAGTTACAACTGGGTTTATATAGTGTCAATTACACAGTAGAGTTGGAAATGAACTCAGATTCAATAAAACGGGGAGTAGCATGATCTTTGGGCTTAATCATGCGACCCACATAGTGAGATATCTACATGGCAAAAAGGGGGCTTATCTGCTCTGGATTTCTTACAGAACAAGTGAATTTCCTTCTTTAGATTAAGGGGAAAACAATAAAAGACTATTATGCCCTTGTTTTTTAATAGTTTATACTTAAAAAGTGAAAAGATAATTTTACCCTTCACAACCTAATGGACATTATATGATGTTTGCCATTTGATCCTTTTGGGGGCAACTTAAATTAAAAAAATAAAATAAAATATATAAAAACTATAATTATCCGAAAGTTTAGTTTATGAACTGTAGGGTAGGTTATTGATTTGTAGTTTAAGAGTTAGATAAAGAGATTAGAATATGTTTAACCTAAATTTGAGTGTTGCTCCTTCTATAGTCGAGCTCAAAAGATTGAGTTTAATATGATATATTAATGTTATAAATATCCCAATTCTTTTTATCAAGATTCCCATTAATATAAAATCTGATGAGCTTTAGAGAGCATAGATCCTTACGAATAAAATATTGGATATTTTATTGGAGATATTTACATAATTGCCATTACCAAATTTAAATGCTACAATATTATTATTAAGGGTTAGGCTACTGTAACATAATTTTTTTATATAGATTTGTGACATAAATTCATAGTCACTGATTCAATGTAATCCACTGGATTTGGATGAGAGTTAGAGTTAGTTAAATTTTAATGTCAATTAAATAATTTTTAAGCTATTAGATTATCATGAATTTGTGTCACAAATCTATGTAAAAAATTTGTGTTACAATAATCTGACCCATTATTAATTATTTAACTTTGCCCCTTCTCAATAAGTTTTTTGGCCATGCCATTGATCATGAGAAAATTGTTTTGATATGTTACCAAAGAATAGTTGATGATATTCTACAATATAAGAGTCATGTGTCCATGTTTTTCACTTTCCTCCATCTACCTCTTGACTTGGAAATATTTTAAATATTCTAAATAAACATGTTACGAACTTTTTAAGTCAAAAGTCAAAGTTGAAAATGTAACTTTGCATGGAAAATAACAATTGTGCCTCCTGATAATAAGTGTTCTCGATAAGTCAAATTTGTGGTGCTATAAAAATTGTTCCATTGAACATTATATTAACGTTATTATTATTTTGGACCTCTTGGATTCTTGTAAAGGAAAATTTTGAAACGCCAGCTTCTACCATTATAAAATAATGACAATAAGAGAATAAATTTTGACTAAACACGTGTATAATAATGAGTAAGACTCTTCAAAATTTAAGAAAGTGGAGATCCAAATTTGGTAGATAATCGTAACCCTAGAAAGACTTCATATGCGAACGAAAAGGACTACTGGACAACAGGAAAAAGGAATGACTAGACTACATGGGAAAGCGGTAGGAAATGGGAAAATATATTTTCTATAGGTCACTTATCGATCTTTGAAATGATACTGAATAAGTTTTCAAGATATCACATCAAGTAGAAAACCATAAGGTGCTTAATTACTGGTTATGACATATAATTCAACGGGAACAGTCATTAATTAGGAGGCAAAACCTTTACCTACACTTCACCGACATGCTGTTTCCGCAAATTGAACGAAATAGCTTTACATTCATTCATTCACTGTGGTTGAAACGTCCATATCTGTCTGTTTCGAAAGAGAGCTGTGTTTATGGTCACCCAATTACCCAAATGTTCATTATTAATCAAAGTAAACGTTATTAATCTTGAATAATAAATTTCAAAAGAATACATTAAGAAAGAGAAAAAAAAAAAAAAAGTAGTGGGATCCGCTACTTTTCAACTAATTTGATTCTGATGTAATTAGAAAGATTGCATAATTGCTTAGATATGTTGAAGTCGACCAATGGAGATTATTGATCGTTTGTTACCAAAATAAGTAATTTATTTAGCATAGCTTTTAAAATTAATTGTTAAAAAAGGAACTTGTTTTCAAAGTTAGAAACTATTTTTTTTCATTTTTATAATTTTATAACTCAATAATGATTTAAACTTTTAAGAAGTTTATTTAAAATCGTAAGTTTTAAGTTTCTTTAATGGTTCGTTCGAAAATATTATCGATAAACTTTTTAGATGTATTTAAAACAGTCGTGTACATTAATACTTCTATAATTAGATCAACTTGATATAAAAAAAATGTGTTTAATAGTTCTCAAAAGAATATATACAAATTAATTAGATCAAGTGTCTTGGTGTGTTGTGTATGTTTCGTTAGCGAACAATAATTTAAACGTTTCTGGAAAATGGTAATCGTGTCATTCTTGGCTGCGGACAACTCCAATTTTATAGGATAATTTACTGGCACATAACATAAATGTGTATGAAGGTGGGAAAAGAAGTAATAAATCAAGTCGAAAGATTTTGTTCATATATACCCGTGGCTAGCGGATGATGCACCGACCATTTTTTGCATCATTTTGATCAAAAGTCCAATTAAGTCCAGAAGAAATCCGAATGAAGCTATCATTATCATCAATTAACCCTTAAACCTATGAACACGTGTAGGCCTGACTTTGACCATATCCATCATCAATAACCTGCTGGAAGGAATAGACAGAGAACTATTTGTTCTCATATTAACCTGAGATTACCGTCCATATTTGGTCGGTTTTGCAATATCTGTCATCTACCTCCGCTGTGGACCATTAATTAAAGATTCGTACAGTTGCAATAATTCGCCAAAACTTAAGGGTGGCACTATTATATCTTAGAAATTACTTCTTTGAATTTATAATATGCATACGTGTTTGTTCTGGAAATTTTAACCATTGTGCATTTAAAAGTGACCCAATTATTGAGATTTGAAGATTTTTATGTATTACAACCATAAAGTATCCTTCTCTTACTCCATATTAAGTCTTAACTAACAATTAATATGTTTCAAACTTCAGTAAGTTTTTCGGATTATGTTCAACATAGATAAGGGAAGCCAAGAAGAATAATAACCCCAATACACAATCGAAGCTAGTTTAATTTCATAAACAACAATATGTATAACTTGATGTTTTAGTTTCATTGTTTTCCCTTTCTCCTTAATCAAAAAAGGTCAATAGGTACATATTTTTATAATTTCAGTTTAACTGAACAGGATGCATTAAGTAGTCATGAAATTTGACGATTTGGTTAATGACTGGTCTGTTTTATCTACCTTTTTAGCACAAACCAAATTTTTTAAGGCATAGATTAATTGATATATATATATTCCAATTGTTACAAACGAAAGGGCTCAGAAAATGAAGCCACAAATTAAGAACAAACACGGCAACACACATAATTATCAAATCACATTAATTGTTTGGTTACAAGGAAGTTTGCAAAAAATAAAAAGCCGTAAACATGCCCGACCTGAGAGTGATTTGCCTGCATCACCATTTACATAGATAAATGAAGAGAAAGAGGACGGACAAGAAAATCCCAAACCTCTCCAAAAAAAAAAGTTGCCGGTCTCTAAATACAGCAAGTGGGATATTGAACGTGGTCAATGGGTCAACCACGGAAAAAAAAAAAAACAAAAAAAAAAAAAAAACAGGTGAAAAACCCTCCTGCAAAATTAAACCTAGCAGCTAAACAAAGCCATGGCAATGACAGTTGGTCTATGGTTAAGAGAAGACGTTGAAGGCCTTTTAGTTTCTCTCCCAAGGTTGAGCAAAAACAAACAGTAAGTTAAAAATAAAAAATAAACCTAGATTTTATTCTAAAGTCTTCGCGCAACGTAAAATGGAACATGGATTTTTGTGTCACAACATGGCTTCCAGCACAGCTAGTCGTAGGTTTTTCACAAGATCCTTAATCGTCATGTCGGATTCAGAGTCCATCTGCAGCACAATAACACGCTCACATAATTAAAAATGAAAAACTTGTTATGCCCTGAAAAATTTCTATGAGGTATGGGAATTACCTGTGCAACAATTGTTATATCAAGAGTGGAGTTTCCAAATGAAAACACATTGCTATTTAGAACTGTTAGATTAAGCTTTTCAACTTCGCTGATTATTTTTACTAAGCTTCCCTTAATCTGCTCGCAGTGGATTCTAATAAGTATATCCCTGTCGGAAACTCGAGCTTCGATTTCAGGAAGGTATTGGTCGGATTGGCTGTCAAAATTCTCATCGGATGAAGACGTTTCATCATCAGAAGAGATTTGAGATTTCTTCACAATAATAGTTGATTCCATTGTTTTCTTCGCTGCCTGTTCTTCAAGAGTCTTCACAAGTTCTTGAAGTTGTTTCATGTACTTGATAGCATCTGCAAGGACGGTAGCTTTGTCCGTCTGCCAACAAAAATTATATCATCAGACAAAGAAATATATATCTGAAATCAAAATATCAAACTACACGGAATTAAGTTTAATTTCAAAGATTGCATAAAAACGATAGAAGATTTTATTCCAGTATTTTTAACTTGCACCTTCTTTAGCCCAGGAACGAGAGCGGAGAGAGCTATAAACCGCTGGTTGAGTTTCTCTCGTCGCTTTCTTTCTGCTATAACATGATCTTGAGCAAGTAAAGGAGCCCTTGTCACTGAACCGACCCTCTTGGTCTCCTGCACATGGTTTGGTGAACGAAACTGAGCCTCATGGGAACTGCGTGAAATAACAGATGACAAATTGATGTTTCCAAGAGACCCTGCCGACTCGTTCTTCGGATTCATGGGATATTTTACATCATAGGCTTGCTGATTAATGGCTGGAGACGATGAGACTGAGTTGTCAAATGAAATAATTTGTGAGGAGGAAGAAGGAGAATGCTTAGGAGCGGTGAGTTCAGTGGTGCAAGAGTTCCAGCTATTGGTCTTTAACTGCTTTGCCGGCCTCTCAACACCGGTGTGAGAGGCTTCAATGTAAGAACCGCTACTGTTATGAGTGCTTTCTGGGTAATAGCTACCAGAAAAAAAAGATTGAAAATCGAGCCCGTCCAGTGTGTAATCAAGAGGGTTCATTTGGTATTGATTGAAGAAGGCGGAATCATCCATTTCCTACAGATCAAAGAAACCATTATCAGCTTAATTACTTAACAAAGAACTAAAATTCTCGCTAATTTTTTTCAATTATTATAGAGGAGCGTTAGGTAAACGAACTTTTTTGAGAGACACAAACCGAGTTAGCTTGTATAGCAGTCTTACCAGTTCAGATATCCATTTTGCCGATGAGATTTCCATCAAGACAGCTTCTGTCTCTGCTTGAAGAGGATGATGTGGGTTTTTGGTAACCTGAAAGATTAGACAAAGGCGCCAAAATTTTAGATATGAAGCACCAAGGAGATCACAAGATACTTCTAATTAATACATTTATAGCGTAATCTTTACTTTTCAATTTACATCATCTGTGAAGAAACTGAAAAATTGTGGACAAGTGAAGGAACAAAGAAGGGACCAATTATTTAGCTGGGACTATCAAAATTTTGACCAACAAAAAATATAAGAAAGAAATTAAGATAACTCCATAAAAATAAACAGACATGAAAGATTTAAACGAGTGAAGATCCATGAAACTATTCAAATCTTCAAAAGGCTAGATCAAAAGAACATCAATGACCCAGAAATCTAATAAAGAAACTTCGAATTCTGCATATCCAGAAGAAAACTATACATCAGTGAAAATATACAAAAGTTTTAAAGGGTTTAACTGTTTTGAGCTATCTCACCTTCTATGAAGACCTGAAGAAAAGTTTCTGTTCCTGATTAACAACAAGAAGACTTTCTTTCTTTTATATGAGTACTGTCCGCGTATACTGCTAGAATAATTAATATTGTGTTCACACGTGCTAAACTGTTGTGTAATAAATTATTTTCTGTAATGTTCATTTGAATGCTCTTTTTTCTTTTGAAGAAAGGTGCCTCTGTGTCATTTAGTCATTACCTTACCACTTCTGGTTTTTTTTGCATAATAAAGTATGAATGGTAATCGCGTAGCTAACACATCATCTTTAGGTATATAATATATTTACTAAATTCTACACTTTACATATATACATTTTTTTATAGTGAAGTACAATACATAATTACCGTGTCACAAATTGGTAGGCTTCTTTCATTCTTTTAGTCAAGTCAATAAACGTTACGTTTCGTCACGTAGTCACGATAATTTTTCAGGCCGAGGATCAGATGTGCACAATCGTTTTCATCTAATTCCCATTGAGTAGTTCACATCATAGTTAATGGATGCTTTTCTTCATCAAACAAATAAAATACATCAAGCCCTACTTTAATTTCAGTAATCTTATTAAAACTTATATGAGGGTCCCTTATTTCTAAGAAGGATAAGATCTTAATCAAATAATTAACCTAATGATCACATAGCAATTTCATTATCGAAAAAGTATCTGAAATTTTTATTGCATCTCCTACATTGCAATAACTAATTATAATATAACGAAGATCTTAAAACAAGTTGAATGGTATACTAATAAGGTTGATTATAATTGTAAACTTATTAATATTGAACATAAAAATTGTCATACAAAATAAAAGGTTTGCAAAAATCCTCTTTTTTTTTTTTTTTTTTTTTTTTGATAAATGAAAATTTCATAAAAGAAGATAAACTATATATAAACTTCGGCCATACCCCCAGAAAAGATCTAAAGAAGACCATAACAAATGTACCCATCTTTTTGCAAAAAATGTTGGGAACAAACGCCCAAAAGGGAGCACACAAGCTCCAAACCAAGGAGGGAGATGGGCACAGGCACCCTAACAGAGCTCGTAGACTCAAACTAAATAGAAAAGAGAAGAAAGACTCTAAACGAACAAGACCAATTAGTCGAGCAGACTCCAAATAGCTCTAAGTTGAGGATAGATGATATACTTGGATACTAGATCAAAAGCTCAATCTCGAAATAGACCCCAAAACCTAGCCTCTTTTCTCCTAGACAGCAAGCATGCTAGTGAAGAAACTAACATACTCGGGTAGGTCGTTCGTGTGCAAAAATCCCCAAAACCTGAAAAGCTAAATTTGAAATAGAAAACCAATCAAAAATAAATTTCAATATATAATTTTTTTTTTTTTTCTTTTTGTTATGTGGGAAATCCGGAGAGGATAATTCTCTATTAGGAGAGAAAATATTTAGATTGGCTCAATTTGGAAAGAAGATAATTGACTTAGATTCCAACTAAGGTAGCCGGAAATCATGTAACTTCCTAATTCTACGTATTTGAATCTTACCTCAACTCTATCATGTAAATGAGTGCTATATAAACTCATCATAACTTGTTTTCTGGGGGGGTTGGGCAATTGTTCCAGGAAAAGATTCATCATTTGTAATTCTTATTCAATAAGAGAAGCAACGAACGTAGAATCAAGATTCAAACTTGCCGAACCACTTTAAAAATTGCCTCTTATCATCGCTCATTTTTGCTCTTTAATCATTTTTTTACTATTTTCCATTCATAACATTGTTGGTTAACTCCATCGAGATTAATCGAATCGCTCTAGTTGGTGCAAAATCTTGTATCAACACTTTTAAAATAAGAGGATTAATCACATAGAAAGTATAAGTTATATATAGTTGGGGAGCCTCCTTCTTACCTAACACAAATTATCATTAGTGTATCATTCTATATATGCATGTAAAAATAAGATATAAAACAAATTAAATTGATAGCAATAAGTCATGTAATTATATAAAATAGTATATGAAATAATCTTTAGATGTTAGTTTCTTCACTATTCATTTTCCTTCTTAAAATAATACTTTCTTTGAAATAATTTGTATAAAAATTAAAATTTAAGTGTGACAACGAAGTATATAAACTTTAATTATATGTTAAACTAATTAATACGAACTGATTCAACTTGAAGTAAGCTGGTTTTGTTGGGCATGATTGATTGCTAATTAGACAGGGGATCACCCATATTATTGGAGACCCAACAATTCTAATAACTTTATTCTGTGTATCGATTAGATTCAGTTAAACCGATAAAAGAGGTTACAGAAAGAAATATGATAAACGTGTGAGCAACTCAGGCAGCTGCTACTACATAACCCTACATCTTCACATGGCAAATTTAGAAGCTGACAAGGAAGCTTCAGCTTTAAGCTTTTGTTGTTCGGGGAGCGAACATGACTTCTTAGAAAAATACGAGAATGGTCACACATATGGAGCTAACCTTTTTCTTCTCATATATAATACTATTAATCACATTATCCCACATAAGCAAAGCATAAAATACATGGAAATACTGAATAATTTTTCAATTTAATTAACAAATATGAATCATCCAATCAAGATTTTTTTTTTTTTTTTTTTTTTTGTTTGGGTTTTTTGTAGATTATGATCCTATAAGAAGATGGTCCAAAACAGTTGAATTGATGATGTAATATAATATTTATGTTTTTTAATTGATTTGAGATCTAATTTTAGATATAAACCCTGCATTTAATTTTATTTAAAGGGAATATTAATTGGATTACCCTTTCCCCTTTAATTTATTAATTTACTAGATGGGAACATCAAAGTGTTGACTGTTCCAGCTCACACAACCTCCAGAGTGGACGCTCAGGCCTCAGCATGAAAAGGGCGATATATAAAAATTAATATCAAGTATTAATTGGCTAGAGAGAGTTCAATATGATCATTTAGCCAAAGATAATAAAAAGGGAAATTAACAACAATGGATTCGTTCGTTTTTTTTCCACAAATTCATCATAATACTTTTTTTTTTTTTTTTTTTCCTGTAATTATATTTAAATTTAAATTCATAAATTACGCCTGATTGTTTGATAATATCAACCCATTGCAACTATACAATATGAGTCAAAAACTATGCTTGAGGCCTAATATTGTCAGGGTTTGTTAGACTAAAATTAGAAATTAATATAAGATATCATTTAGCCTTCACTTCTAATAAATATGAAACACTTTCCCAGTTGCCTAAGTATGAATATTTAAAGTTCAAATATTATTTCATATCATAAATAATATCTCAAAATATTCATATAAAAAATATATATCATTTTATGTAGTATTATTAAATCACAAAATTTCAAATTCATTATTTTTATGTCAATGTTATGTAAAAAAAAAAATGGTATTATATAAGGTGAGAATTTTAAGAAACCCTTATAACTAATATTATTTTCCTTTTTTGTCTAGTTCTTATTCATAATTACATTAATATTAGGTGTAGCTTTTAATAATAAAATCATGATAAACGTGGTGACAATGAGGATTGGGTGTTGCGATTTTTTTAATCGTCCAATGGTGACGCAGATTATGTCATCAAATACATGCAATCTCATTGGCTAAATTTACGCCACTTAAAACCTTACAGCTATTATAGTTAGTCAAACAAATATTTATTTATTGCGTTCGCGAGACTGGAAAAGGCTACTTGAAAAGAACTCCATGTATGTTGGATATATCTAAATCAAGAAAGATTACTTAGTAGTGTGATATTAGGTTCTCTTACGCCACAGTTTAACAATACAATCGAACTAATTTAAACGTAATAAACAGATAAAAAATTTATATTTTATTAAAATAATAAACATTTATAAATATATGCCGGCTTGACGTGAAGATTAAGATGTTATAGTCTATATTTTTCTTTCGAAAGTAAAAAGGAACTGAGAACTAGGAGAGACGATTCACAAATCACGTGATTAACGTGGTTAAAAGCTTCTAATTAAATTGATTAATTTTGATGGCAAAAAATTCAATGTTTTTGCGTAGAGATGGACGTTATCAATTATCAAATACATTGAAATGACGTCGTTTACTTTACCTTCATAATTAATTAGCTAGCATTTCAACTATCAAAGTACGAACACTGATGAATGGGAAAACGATTCCCTCCTATCAAGCTGTATTTAATTTATTTTGCTTATGTTAATGTTGTTACTCTTGAAAAAGATGTTGTATTTAGACCAAAATGATACTTCGATATTCGTGGACCAACCAATTTATGAAAATTAAGGATGATCTTAATCAAATTGAGTCCACACTCTATTTCATTTAATGGGAACACAACACTAACAATTGATATCAATGGCAGGAGAAGTCCATTTAAATTGGCTAGATGAAGATCAATATCAGTGGAATATTAAAATCTAGCTATTTTCTTTTAATTAAGAAAAGAGTTTTTTTTGTTCTATCATATACTTAGCCATTAGCACGGAGATATAGAGATGGATATATATGAGTAATATTATATTTGAAAAGTATTTATGTATTAAGTTATATATATAAATTAATTATAAATTATGTCATTTTATTGTTCACTGTTATTATTATTATTATTATTATTATTATTATTATTATTATTTGGTGATTGGGATGTCCAAATCAATTTGCGCACATCTCAACTAATCATCGGAATCTTAAAATTA